ACGACTTTTACTTCTTCCTATTGCTATGTTTTTATTTTACTTCCTCAATGAGAAAATTTATTTTTTCTGAATGAGGAGCGGCAAAGTCTGAATTCTGCTCGTCTTTCTCAATTTTCTCCATTAGAGCTCATATTTTATGCAATAGGAATATCATATGTGGAATCAGCATCGTAAACTGAGTCGAATGATGTACTTTTTTATCTTTTCCGACCATCTTAAGTTTTTTGAATTTTCTCGCCGAATGCGGAGATTTCACCAAAAAATGAAGATCAACGAAACTTTTCAAAATAGAGGACGGTTTTTTGTATTTTTGAGGTCCTATCAATAATTTGAGTTTATCTCCATGAAATGGTTTTGGGAGGCTCGGAAGGTGATATTCGTGATCAGCTCGACGCAGTGAATCACAATATATGTAAAAACACGAAAAATAAAATCTGCTGAAATTTTGCTTTGCGTGTTGTTTGGAGGTTATGATTATTAGTTTTCATCTTTCCTAGAGAAGTACAAGGATCTTTTAGGAGGATTATTTCTTCTCTTCATGATACAAGAGGGTGAGAATGAATATTTCAGCGTCACTCTCACATCTCACAAATTGGTTTATAGTCTATTGAATACTACTGAACTTGAAGCGATCTATATATCAGCTTACTCCCCAAACAAGAACATGATCTTATTTTCAGTCAATATATAATTGAGTACATCGTGCATTTCTCTATTATCTTCATTTATTCGAGCATAGTGATAAAAAATGATGGACAATGTGCTTGATCAAATCGAATAAAAGTCTTATCGCAATGTCAATTAGTTATACAGAATTTCGGCCACATTTGCATATGCCTCCACGAGTTCGTCGGGATGTTCAATGTTGACCAGTTTACCTTGGATTGTTTGAGTGATTTTTTCGATGGTGTCTTTGTTGAAGTCTCCAAGAGCCATCAACCAGAAATTATGTATCAACGCTTTGTCATTCTGATTGGAAGCAGAACCTATTCGAAATGAAAAGAAAACTAGAACTTCCTGTCGTTTAGAATCTATAAGATGGGCTATAAGATTTGAAAAGTACATCGATGGATTATTCAATCCCATTGAAGGTACTTATGCAAAAACTTTGAACTGTCAATGAAAACGTTATACATTCTTACGAACCTGGCCTGTAATCACACAACTGTGATAACTCTTTCTTCGGATATTCTTGAGGTTCACCATCGGTCATAAAAATAATTGTTTGTCGGAATCTATTTCGTTCTGGATTCCTATTAACTTCTTCCAGTGTGTTAATAGCCATCTGAAATGCAGCAGAAAAGTTCGTACGTTCACCACATAGTTTCATCGGTATGTTTAGTCGGTCTATATCGATTTCAGTTAGCTTTTGTCGATTATAAATTCGTGTTGCTCGATCGCCAAATAGAATCACGGTAATTTGATCGTTAAAAGAAACTTGCCGTATACGAATATCAAGAAATCCTTTGACAGCGCGAAGCAAATGTTCCCAAGGAGTGAGATTGGTTTCACTAGAATCAGTAACTGCACTATTCCTTTGTGATGCGGTGAATCCAGTCATCAATCGCCTCAAAATATTATTTTCTCCATTCATCGAACCAGAATGATCAAGTATAAAAAATGAAGTGATTTATTGGGGGTGGACTATTTTTTTCGACAAATTTCATTCCATTTTTATAATGATCACATAACTGTTTACCAATTCGTGTCCAGATATAAGCATAAGGTGGTGCTAAATTTTCTCGAATTCTCGGATCACCAAAATCCCAATCGAGAATATAAATTCCCATTATATCATTCTGAAACTTAAACTATTAAAACACAAAATTAATCCTTGCACGAATAGTCAGTGGACTGATTAACTCAACATATGGCTTTCTTGGCTAGCAGATGGACGCGATTATTAGGTTTGAGGTACCACGCGGCCAGCTGAGATTTTCAGTAATTATATATTTTGGGACAAGAAAAAAATTTCACGGGCTCAGACTTACGGGGTCGGGACAAGTTGCAGAAAAAATTCGTCCCGTAAGTTTTGTCTTTTGATTGTAATTATACTGCAACTTCAAATATTTAATTCTTGTAATATCGGGTGACCCAGAATAAATGGCCTTCCTCATACTTTTCTTATAATGTTTTTTCTTTTCAATCCTTAGACCTGGTCGTTTTCAAAAGATGTGTCGTCAAATTCTCTACAAAACTTGATCAAACGTATTTCTATAAAAAGTTAAGGAGAAACATGAAACGCAAAATATTCAACATGACGGAAGGACCAACTTTCTAAGCTATATTGTTTTACAAATTTTGGAATATTTTAAACAGGCTAAAGACAACGAAACAAAACTGAAGATATTTTTGAGTATTTTAAAGTGCACTTTTTCTTCTTATGCAGTTCACAGTTCGTTCAAATCTAAGTGAGCACTGAAAAATCTGACATTCCAAAATTCACCTCAACATGACCAAAATCTGCTATTGTTCGGCAGATGAATTTATGAAGAAAGCTTTAAGGTAACTTTCTCAGCTGAACCTGGCACAGGTATCATTTCTCATCAAAATAAAATAAGACCAAGCTAAAACAGTGCTATTTTGCTGCAAGATTGATTCTGCATTGTGCATCCAATGCTGGTTGATAGAACTTTTCAATGGTTACAAAATGCGTGTATTCTCTTCTTCTCATCATCCAACTCGATGAAAGTTTATTCTGGGCCAACCAGTACTATCAAGTCAAAACCGTAATTTTACAATAACTAATAAAAATTAACCTGGAGAGGCGAAATAATCCGGATTTAAACTTGAGAAGATGTTCCATATCTAAAACTAGGCTTACAGTTCTTTCCTTTCGATTCCGAGCTAGTGAGTGGATGTAAAACATTCTTTTATACTGCAACTTTTAAGTTTAGGCCTAAATAAATTAGGCTTAAATTTTGTCATGCGGATTTTTTGCAAAACTGAGGTTGAGATTTTAAGCATCTCTTGTAATAGTTACGGTTTATCACAGCAGAAAACATTTTTCAAAAAATTACGGCACAAATGGGACGGGGCAAAAAAGCCCATAAATTTTTGTCCCGCAGGACTCTACGCTGCAGTGATGAATATAACAATAATTGATGAGTAGTTATTACTCATCATTTAACACTCTTATTTATTGATTATTAATAACTCTGTTCAAACAGCCAGTGATGAATAGCAGCCTTTTAACTATTTTCACTTCTGCTTTACATACATTATCTCTTAAAGGCGGAAAGTCGTGGTATCTCAGAAAGTTGATTTTTCATTCCATCGAAAGCTGCTTTTTCATACGCTCATCAGTGATATTTGTCGACGAAACGAGAATACTCCATTCAAATTTCTTAACTTCTTAATCTGGAAGTACCTAGAATATACACTAATTCTAAAATAAATGCACTCTTCCTTTTGGATAAAAACATTAAATTTGTGCTTTTCTCTGTTTCTTGCTTTATATTTCTTTCTATAGTGCACACAGGAAGATAAAACATCAAAGCAAAGAGTAACTAACATAAAAGAAAGCTTAAAAACGCGGCATCTTTGATGTATACGGTTGAATATAGTGTGAGGTACCGTGAAAACCCACAGTGGCGAATCCGGATTCAAAAAAATGTCGGTACACAGATGAGATTTATGCGGCGTACAACGTACCTCATCGCGCTGATTTCGAATATGTAAAAATCTCAAGACTTGCTTCTCTACAAATATTCGATCAGATTTCGATATGCTCAAACAGCGGCCTTCAAAAGATTTCTCCGATTTCTTCCCGCTGAAACAGGTTAAGTAAGAAGTCTTTTATTGAAAACCAGGTCTAACAGTGTTTAAATGGTATACTGGCGTGGCTATTGTTTGTTGTCTTCTTGTTCTTTTAAAGCATTTTAGTTTAACGAGTAGAAACTCGAGTGTTTTGAACAATTCTTGTCTGAACAATTTTCCTGTCAATATGAAAATATAAAAGTTTGTACCCAATATGACAAATTGAAGTAGAGCAACGATAATTGCGACTAATGTTTCAATGTAAATTCTATCCAGAGTCTTAGTTGAATATTTTGTAGCAACGGTATATATCTGATATATTCCCAGTGGCATTGTCAAAAATATATGACATACAACCTGAACAAGAAGCATTTTAATTAGCTGTGCGTTTATTGTTCGTCGTTGGAACGAGACATCTGTTGGCACAATTTGGCGCCGGGACTTTTTGATATTATTAATTGTTAACACGCCAAACGTTATGTAAATGAATGGCGTTAGAAATGGATAAGTGGCTAAGTAATAACAATAGACAAAATACAGAGACCAAGTGGATGTGGGTCCACAGGCCCCGTTGACTAATTCATATAATAGTGGCAAATGGATTTGTGAAATTAAACTGGCAACTGGTGTGATTGAAATCAAAAGATAGGCCAGTGGTAAACGACTGAATCGTCGACGACGTGCCAGCGGATGACTCGAACAATAACGATCGACACATGCCAAAATGGTGAACCATGATGACAAATAAATGCTCACATAATAGAAATAAGTGAAGAGTTTACACGATGAATTAACACGCGACGTGGGAGCAATAGAATAGCCGGTGAGTACATACAACAGAAGGCCAAGATTTAACGATAAAACATCTGTGGCGGACGATGCTAACATGTACAATGAACAACAGTTTGTTCTTAACGGCTTCCTTAAGAATACAATTACACAAAGGATATTGCCCAATTGTCCAAAAATAAATAAAATAATCGATACTGGACGAAGTAAGACATAATAGATGAGGAATACAATTGTAGCTTGCAATTCAGCTCCCATTTTTTTGTCTGATTCTTATGCTNCTTATGCTCAATTAAATAAGAATATCTGATCATTAAGAAAGGATCAGCAGAAAAGAAAAAGAATTAAAGATTATCCATTTGTCTATCTGCCTGTCATCCATTTTAATGATCGTGATCTCATGTGATGATAATTAGGCTAAATGCTGGAAAAACACACAAATATTGTGTCTACAATGTTTCTATGAGTTTCAAAGGTCTAGCAAATGAATTAATGGGTTATTTCCACAGAAAAATAATTTATCCCTTACTTTCCCAGAAGTAACACGAGTAACGGATTGCCATCACCGTTACTGGTAACTGGTAATGGATTTTTGTTACCGTTACAGTAACGATAAAGGTAAAGCGCCACGCCTAGTCACGATTTTCTAACACACCAGTTGGTCAACACACTAGTATCGATACGATTTCATAGTGAGTGTCGTTTTAAGCCAGATTCTTTAATATTCTAATAGTTAGTGAACGTCTCACCAGGTACGCAGCTACCCATCAAAATTCTAACAAAATCAAAAGACTAGGATTTCTTTAGATATTCCGAAAAACTGAATTGCTGTAAGAATCATAACAATAGAGTTTGTACTGTGGTTGTTGATGTAGTTGTTGAGTGACAGGATAAAACAATTGTCGAAGGTAGAAGTACAACACTGTCACATGGTAATAGAGTTTGTCTTCTTTCAAAACAGCTTCTTTTTTAAGAGAGTACACACTAATACCTCTAAGCAGTTTGTAACTCGCCTGACGGTATTTCCACGACGATTCTCCTACCTTTTACACAACTCTCATGAAACTGTTCCAACCATGCCAGTTTCGTAGGCCGTGCCGACTGCCGTGAAAGGTCATACTTTTTTCAAAAAACCTCATCTCCTCTTTAGGCGATAGTGCACAATGTGACTCGTGCACGTACAGAAGACACATGTTCCACTTTTATTTTCTATTCTCGTTTTTCATGTTTACATATATACGTGTAGTTTCTGTGTTCTTTGTCATTCGTTCTTCTGATGATGCTGAGTCCAGAGCTGGGCAAGTCTACTATAATAAATATAATTCGCGTTTTTGTCAAAGACCATCATATTCTTCGTCTTTTCGACAACAACAAACCCGATTCTCTTCTCCCTTTCGTCCACAACAATTTCAGCAATGGCAACAACCAAGATTCTCGCCTCAACAATTTCCTTCATCTCAACGAAGGCCCATTTCATTTAAAGCACATCACTACACGCAGAATTTCATGCTAAAAAAATGAATAATTAATTTCTTGCATCGTATATATACAAGAGTCAAAAAGTTTAAAAAATACTTTCCATTCATTATCATTTTTCAAAAACTGTGCAGGTTGCCGAGAACGAGTTTACAAACCGAATAAAAATGTTTTTTGAAAGGGTATTACAACTCACGAAACCTCTTTTAAGGGTTTCCGAAAATGTTACTAAATGAAACCCTTTTGGATATTCGAGGATTCGAATACTCTTTCGAACACCTTTTTGACGGGTATTCGGGGACAAAATTGCACTGAATAAAAAAGAGTAAGCGGATGGGAAACGCGTTTTCGATATTTCGAAAACCCTCTCGAAAGGTAGTCTCGAAACCTGAAAGGGTTTCATATAGTGTCATTTTCGAAAACCTTTTTTAAGTTTTCGAGAATACTCTTTTATCTTTACAGTGTACTGTCTGTTTCCGAAAAGAATGACCATGGCCAGTTTTTTAATTTCTGCGAAACGAAAAGAGTTACAGACTG